CAGTGAGAGGCCCGCGTACCGCAAAAAAAATAATAATAATAAATAAAAAAAAATAGAGTATTGGACAGATCCGAAAACGCAGCAGGTGTGGAATGCACCAAGAAAGAGGACGAAGAGGCTGAAGATCCAGGGAGACACAACCTAACTAATGAAGCATGAAGAGGACGGGACACTCAGGGCTGAAAGGATTTAGCTTCTGAAAGTGGGTTTTTCAGATATGGTAATCCTTAGTTTTCTCTTTAAAGCTGAATGCAGACGAAAGAAAGCAGGGGTGGCTTCGGGTCTTGAACAGCACGGGAAAGGTCTGAAAAAGCATCAGTAGGTACAGAAAGGGGAGGATGCGGCGGAGCAAGGCCTCGTGAAGGTAAACCTACTGAGGGTCACACCCGCGGCAGGAACACCTGCGGAGAAAACTCCCTCGAGTCGATAAAGTCCAGGCTCAAAGGTCCAACGAAGAGCACGCGGTGGGAGACCAGCCTCCCGCGGTCAGTCCCGGAGAGCCGGGTGCCCGCTCGTCCCGGCAGGTCCAAACCTGTCCCGGCAGAAAGCCAGACGCCTGGCGCGCGGCCGCCTTTCTGTGCGGAGGCGACTCTGCCCTTGTGGCAGTTTGGCGACATCCTTCCGGGAGCCCGAGCGCTGGGAGCGCCCTCAGGTCGCAGCCTCCCCGCTCTCTGAGCGAGGCCGCCGCCGCGGGCCGGCACGAAGGGCCTTCGGGACCAGGGGCGCCGGCGCGGAGGGAGCCGACAGGGCAGTGGGCCGGCGGCCCAAGGGGGCGAGAGAGCGCGCGGGGCGGGGCGCCGGGCTCGCCGGAGGGAAGCAGTAGCCGGAACGTTACCTCCAACATGCCCTTCCGACTCGCCCCGGCCGTGTCGATGAGCGTGTTGTCCAAGTCGAAGAAGACTGCCCGCACCCGTCTCAGCCCCATGCCGCCGCCGCCTGCGCGACGCGCCAACTCGTAGCCGCCGCGCGCGCCTGCGCGAAACGGACCGGCGGACGGGAAATACCGGGGCGGAGCCGCGAGGCCGCCCGACCCTTGCGCACCGGCGGGGAACTCCCGCGAGATGTCCCCATACCTGAGTGGCGCGGAACAGCGACGTCCCGCGAGACTCCGGAATCGTGGTCCTAGGGAGGGCCGGGGACTCGCCGCCGTCACGATGCTAGCGGTTGTCTGAGTCGCTGACGTGTAGGGGGTGGTTGGAAGCGCGGCTTCCTTCTTGGTGCCTCTCTGTGCTTATCTCTTTTCTCATTTTGCCCTCCTTGCGTGAGGAGGACGTCGTGACTGCCCGCGGGAGGTTTTCTGCGCCTTGTGGCGACCGGAAGGAGACAGAACAAGGGGTTTTCCCGGTCGGACCGGGTGTCCTGGCCCGCGCAGCTCAGGCGGTTTCCGAGCGTGGCCGGGTCGGGGGTGTGTGTGTGGTTACGAGTCTGCGGCCCCGCTGGATGGCAGGAGCCGGCTCAGAGCTGGGGGATGTGTTGGAAAGGTGTAACCTGGATTTTGGAGCCATTGTTTGACGGCTCTGCCTGAAGACCGAGGGCTCCGTAGTGTCTGCCCGATGTTTTGTCCACCTTGATTTGATGGCTTTTCCTGAAGCCTTGCATTTTCCGGTCGCTGGGTGTCTTTTTTACTTGGATGATTTTCAGGTATAGCCAGAGGCTGAGGTACCTAGAGAGTCTGTTAAACCTGCAGAAGGTCAGTAACAGTTGTTTGCTTTCTGCTGTTAGCAGAATAAGGATCGTGGAACTAATCTCTAATCTTCTGTCTGAATTGTCTCTGTTGGGTAACCTTACCGAAATTTGGACATGTGGTCATCATCAGTGACCAGAAATTGTCTATCAGGTAGAACAGGGCCACCGGCCAAATCTGGCCTGCCACCAGATTTTGTTGGATCTGTGGGCAGGGTGGTTGTTAACATTTTTTAAAATAATTGAGAAAAGAATCAAAAGAAGTGTATTCATGACACGTGAAAATTATATGAAATTCAAATTTTAGTGTACATAAATAGTATTTATGTATTGCCTTTTGCTGCTTTTACCATACAATAGTAGAGTTGCATAGTTACAAGTGAGACCATATGGCCTGCAAAGCCTAAAATATTTACTATCTGGCACTTCGTAGAAAAAAAATCTGCCCACCCCTGAGATACATGATTAACAGTTGGGCTGCTGGTGTTCAGTACCATCAGATCAGTTGTCTTTTTGTTAATAGGTTTTTCTTCTGCAGTGGCAGACTACAGTTTCCATGTTTTGGAGCAGAATCGCAGGTGACCTCTCTTTGCTACTGTGGAAAATAAATGAATACCCATGCCTCAAAAACATGACTGTTGATGTGCAGGGCTAGTCTATCAATTTTGGTCATTTAGATTAGCAATCGGCCGAAATTATGAGTGCATTAATTAGAGTTACTTTTTTTTAATTGCCTGAATTGTAAGAATACATTTAGCATAAAACTGCATATGGGCACATGAAGTCTATAGGATTGCAGCCGTTTTTTGTTTGTTTGTTTGTTTTTTTGACCACACTGTGAGGCATGTGGGATCTTACTTCCCTGACCAGGGATTGAACCTGTGCCCCCTGCATTGGGAGCGTGGAGCCTTAACCACTGGACTGCCAGGGAAGTCCGTATCCTTTTTCTGATGTGCATATAGTTTATTGACTTAGGCACAAATCCAAAGTCAGAAAAGGTGCAGCAGTCTGCATGTATAATCAGTCCTCTTGACTTAATGGGTTGGGTGTTTGGCAGGTTTCTTTTTGTGACAAGTACTCTAATGGCATTCCATGACCTGTCCAACTTGGCTGCTTGAAGGGAGGTGATGGCCAGGTACAGTACACTGACAACTTTAGTTCCTTCTAATTAAATGTCTCCAGGCTTTAGGTTGTTGCAGTTGATGTTTGTGAACCAGTGAATTTTCCTGTATGCTTTTAAGGTGGTGAAATGTACAGGCTCCTCATTATAAATGAGCCTCAGTTTATTAGTACGTTACTTAACTGGTCAGCTTGACAGATTTAACACTACTACCTAGATGTTTTCGTATTTCCAGGAAGCAAGGTCTAAATAAAAGATTGGTAATTGTGAGACTTGATCAAGGAACACAAAGTGAAAACTAAACTGCAACACTTGTCTCTCCTGCGTCCTGCAGCATGGCACCATTGCTGTGCAACTGCTGCTACCCAACATTGATCCTGTCTTGTCCTACCCTAGGGAAAGCCTTGCCCAGACCCTTCCCACCCACCTCTCCTGTACAAGTTCATTACAACTCCATGACTTCAAAAGAGAGGCTTGCCCTGTGGTTTAAACTTTAAAGGTTTTCTCAGAATGGGGCATTGCTCAGTGGAGGGGCAAGATGGAAACAACCAGAAGAGAATTTCACAGGCTCCCACTACATCTACCCAGCTATCATCAGCTATAACCACCTACGCTGCCTGATAACCTTAAATGAGCCACCTCTGCTGCCTTCTGTGGCTAGCCCTTTCAGCTGTTTACTAGATTCCTGCCCCTACTTAAGGACATCTTTTCAGCAATTCTTTCCTCCCCTCTTTTACATCAAAATTTTCCCATCTGTTGGATACACCCCTCTCACTCACAATACTTTATTGAAAGTACTCTTGCCAAGTCACCAGTGACCTTCAGCTTGCTAAATCCAATAGCATTTCTGGCCCCATCTTCCTTCTCTTAATCAGCAACATTTCACGTAGCTAGTCCTTTTCCCCGCCTTGGCTTTCAAATTTTCTTTTCTGCTCCTGACTACTCTTCACAGTCTCCTTTGCTGGTTCCCCCTCATCTCACTGACTTTCTGTGGTTCAGTGGCTCCAGGGCTGCCTAACTACACTCACTGCCTTGGAGAATCTCATTCATTCACTTGCATGACTTTGAATACCATCTATATATTATATGCTGATGACTCATAAAATGCTATCTCCTCTGATCCCTTGAGAATTAGCTTGGCCAGAGAATAGAAAAATAAAGCCAATAAACATTTGGGAGGTGGTTAATCACACTTGTATTTTAAGAAATGCAAATCCAAACTACAGTATGATGTCATTGTTAACATATAGGATAAGCAAAAGTTAAATGTCTAGGGCCTCCCTGGTGGTGCAGTGGTTAAGAATCTGCCTGCCAATGCAGGGGACACGGGTTCCAGCCCTGGTCCGGGAAGATCCCACATGCTGCGGAACAACTAAGCCCGTGCGCCACAACTACTAAGCCTGCGCACCTAGAGCCTGTGCTCCACAGCCAGAGAAGACACCACAGTGAGAAACCTGTGCAAGGAAGAGTAGCCCCCGCTCTCCACAACTAGAGAAAGCCTGCACACAGCAATGAAGACCCAACGCTACCAAAAATAAAATAAACAAAATAAATAAATAAATTTATTTTAAAAAGTTAAATGTCTAATTTATACCTCAATATTATTAAAACAAAACAAAAACTAAAAACAGCTTGCTGTACAACCTGGTCCATCTGATCCCATATATGTTACATAAAGTAAAAATTATTCTAGGAATTCCCTGGTGGCACAATGATTAAGAATCCACCTGCCAATGCTGGGGACACGGGTTCGATCCCTGGTCTGGGAAGATCCCACATACTGCGGAGCAACTAAGCCCGTGTGCCACAACTACTGAGCCCGTGTGCCACAGTACTGAAGCCCACACACCTAAAGCCCTGTGCTCTGCAACAAGAGAAGCCAATGCAATGAGAAGCCTGCACACCGCAATGAAGGGTAGCCCCTGCTCACCGCAACTAGAGAAAGCCTGCGCACAGCAACGAAGACCCAACGCAGCCAAAAATAAATAAATTTATTTAAAAAATTATTCTAACTCATTAACACATGATTTTTTCCTCTGCAAAATGGAGATTCCAATCCTAACTTGCAGGTTGGTTGAGAGGGTAAAAAATGGCAATGATTACCTGGGACAGGACAGTTGCTCTGTAAATGCTAACAATCATTTTCCACAACACCCTGTCTATACCAGGAGTGCATCAGCCTGAATGAAGTGCTGAGGGAAGGAGTGCTGGGACAATGTTGCAAGTGTCCTGAATGAGGGCATAAGATCTGGGGAATATTCCTTGTGAAGAGGCCTAGTTGACCGAGAACCAGCTGAGGCTCTGAGCCCCAGATGGGACAGTGCAGGTCACGAGATGTCAGACATGAGCAAAGGACACCCACCATTGTATTGAGCAGAGAAGGCACTACAGGAAGGCAACAGGTTAGGAGTACCCACCAGAGGCTGGGCTGTCCTCCTTTTCCCTAGCAGAGAGTCCTCTCTTGGGTGGGCAAGGCATTGGAGGAAGTAGAGCTAGAGGCTAAAAAAGGGTGTGATCCTGAGAATGTCCCCGGAAATTCCCAAGCCTGGGGAATGGCCTCCTCTTGTTTTTTTAAAAAAAGAAGTATTAGTCCTGTCAGAGAAGAAAAGAACTATGGGCAGCTTCCTAAGAATAGGCCCAGGGTGTAGGTATCAGAACACAGCCTATCCTGACATGATACTGACTCTGAGCAGAAAGTTTATCCTCTTTGTGCCTCTGGAATAATGAGGTTTTACTATTAGTAATATTTAACACTTACTGAGCATTTAATATATACCATAGATGGTTCCCAGTGTCGTACAAGATTTCCTCATTCAATCCTCACAACGATCCTATTAAGTGGTTATTTTTTTACCCATCTTTTTCAGATGAGGACACTGAGAGTTTAAATGCGTTTCTCAAAGTGATGGAGCCTAGGTCTGAAGTCTCACTGTAAAGGCCATGCTCTTAAACCAGTTGGCCCAGAGTTTCTGCCCAGCCCAATCTGAACTTTTGCAACTTGCCTCCCAGCCTGGGGGCTTGAGAGCAGTTTCCCTTTCCACCTGTTGGGAAGGTGTTTCCAGCCTGGCACCTGTCGACTTAAAAAATATTCACAACAGGGCTTCCCCGGTGGCGCAGTGATTGAGAGTCTGCCTGCCGATGCAGGGGACACGGGTTCGTGCCCT